TCGCCTGCAGACGGTGCCAGCCCCCACCCCCTGGCTGGGAGCAGGCAGGCAGGCGGCAGTCTTTCTGCCAAGTCTTAATCGGTCCTCCTGCTCCTTTGCAAACAGAAGTGGAGAGTGGGCCCCAGGGCCAGGGCCTCCCACCCCGCCCACCTCAGAGAACCGAGGCCTCAGGTCCCAGACGTGCCTGGGTGACGTGGGGTCACCCACGTGGGGGGGAGTGTGAAGGAGCCACCGCCTGTGGGATCTTGGCAGGAGGACAGCAGGGTGACTGGGGCCAGCAGATGTCTCTGGTGTTCTGGGGAGCTCAGCGGAGTTTTCCAAGGGGAACATCTGGACAGGGAGCCACTGGAGGGGGTGGTGGCTTCGCAAGATGCATTTGATCGGCCCACAACAAACAGTCTGCACCACAGACCCAGGAAAGCTGGGGCCAGAGGACCCTCGGGGAGATGGGAGAGGAGGGACCACCCCTCACTGTGCATCTGGGGAGACTGAGGCAGCACTGCGTGGGGAGAGAATCAGAGCCTCCTGACTGCCAACCAGTGCCCGGAACCCCTGGGAGATGAGAGAGGAAGGACCACCCCTCACTGTGCATCTGGGGAGACTGAGGCAGCCCTCGGTGGGAAACAATCAGAGCCTCCCGACTGCCAACCAATGCCCTTTTGTCGGCACCTCCACTCAGCCCTGGAGCTGCAGGTCGGGTTTCAAATTGGCTTCCACGGGTCCTGTGTCAGCTGGGACTCACAGCCACCTGGGAAGGGTGGGGTGGAGAAGGGGGGATGCGCAGGCTCCCCGCCTCCTGCCAAGGCCCCTGCCGCATCAGGAGGCTTTCCCCAGGCCCTCTGTCTCTCCCACACTAGTGCACCAAGACCTGCGGGGTGGGCGTGAGGATGCGAGACGTCAAGTGCTACCAGGGGACCGACATTGTCCGTGGTTGCGATCCACTGGTGAAACCTGTTGGCAGACAGGCCTGTGATCTGCAGCCCTGCCCCACGGAGCCCCCAGGTGAGGAGCAGGGAGGCTGAGAGTGGGTCTGGGGCCTCCCGGGGGAGGTGAGGACAGAATCATGGCCTGAAGGGTGAGCAGGCATTGCTCATGTTGATGGCGAACCTGGGAACCAGCTTGAGAGACCAAGGTGTGCCGGGAGTGGACGCTCCCTCCCAGCATGGCTGAGCCCCACTGGGAGGGGAGAGTGGGAAGGGGAATGGAGGAGGCCTGACTGGGGTTCCGTGGCCCCAGGGAGCCATGCTGAGACCTGTACTTTGGGAAAAGTGTCAGCTTCAGATGGCGGGGCCCCTGAATCCAGGATGACTCAGCTGGAATGGCCAGGGGCTGGCACACAGGGGGCAGGGAGGGGAACAGCTGAAGCAGGGCCTGGGCACCTGGAGGAGGGACAGGGGACAGGCTCCAAGGGGGTGCCCGGTGCAGGGCACGTGATGAGTTCTGTTTTGGATACATTGAGTGGTGGACGTGGACGGCCCTTGTGGACCCCTTGGGGATGCTTAGGCCTCCAGGTGTGGCATCTGTAGCTCCTCTAGGCATCACTCCTCTTGGGACACAGATCAAATCACCTGGTGTGATCTGGGACAGCGACATCTTGGGGACGGAGATGGGCCAGGAAAGAGGTGGCAGAGAGCTAGAGATGGAGACCCACCATGGGGTGGGAGGCTCACGGCACCTGCCCCTGGAAAACTGCACGTAGGGGTCCTTGGGGTTTTCACCCCTTGGGCACCTCCTGAAACTGCCCCGCTTCGCCCTGTGTTCCTTCTCCAGATGACAGCTGCCAGGACCAGCCAGGTACCAACTGTGCCCTGGCCATCAAGGTGAACCTCTGCGGGCACTGGTACTACAGCAAGGCGTGCTGCCGCTCCTGCAGGCCCCCCCACTCCTAGGCCCGGCAGCTGCAGCCCCTTCCAGACGAAGACCCAGCGCCCCTCCTGGGGCTGCTGCAGCTTCTGGGGCCTCCACAGACCCCCCTCCTGCAGGGCATGCTGGCCTGAGACGTGGCACTGAGTCTCGGCTGTCAAGAGGGGACTTCCCACGGCCCATGGACTTTTGTGCTCCTGGAGCAGAGACTCCGGCACCCACTGGCCTCCCCCAGACAGGGCCACCCGTGCCGTGGGAACCTGTCTGTGTTCCTGCGTGGATCCTGGGTGTGTGGCTCCCACTCCCCAGCCCCCAGCAGCCCCCAGCCGAGGGGCCTGAGGCCCACAGCCAGCAGTGGAGGTGTCTTGCCCCGGGCTGGCAGCCCACGCCCTCTCTAGGTGGCAGGGCCTTCTCAAGGAAACTTGCAGGCGAGCCCAATGTTGGGGGGCTTCCCTCCTTTGGAGACCACAGGGTGAGAGGGACACAGGCAGCCAAGGAGGCCCAGGCGTGCTCCCTCCTATAGAGCCCCTCCCGTGGAGCTCTCTTCCCGCCGCACTTTCTACCCCGGGCAGAGGCGCTTGCCCACGGGACGTTTGGGGATGGACCGCGGGCCCCGCCCCTGCAGTCATCGTCAGTGCTCATCTACGTTAATAAAGTGGTCCTATTTATGGTGGCATCATGGGGTCTCGGTTGCTTCTGGCTGGAGGAGTGGGTTGCCTGGGGGCTTGGTGGGCCCGGGCCTGGCTCTGTGGGGTCTCTCCAGCTTGCTGAGGCCTGGAGTGCAAGGGTGGGCCGGCGGGGGCCACAGCACCTGCTCCGAGGAGAAAGACAGGTGCAGATAAAAGGCAACGAGAGGCGTGGGAAGCGTACAGGGAGGGCGTTTGGGGACACTGGGACTCAGGCACCGGAGAAGGAGTGGAGTTGACATCTCGAGCCCATCAGCAAGTGGTACAGGACCTGTGGGGGCAGGGGTGAGAGATCTTGGCTAAGGTGTAGGGCACCCACCTCCAAGCACGTGGGCAAGAACAGAGGAGATGAGGCAGGTATTCGGGGCGCGGGGCCGGGCCCACCTCAAGCTCTAGGAAGCAGCACCATCACTGCCATTCCTGGAGCTCATGGAGGACTTCCTGACCTGGACTCATGGCTGGAGGAACACAGGGGCTTCTGGGGAGGGGCTGCTTCGTGGACCCAGCAGCAGGAGTGGCTTTTCCAGACGAGAGGGTGGGAAGGAGCACTTGGGAGAGGAAAGCGACACCGCTGGAGGATGCCGCATGGGAGGAAGGACGGGGCTGTACTGCCTGGAGAGGGCCCCAGGAGGTGTTTCCGTGCACACAGGCGGCCGGGAGGTGAGTGGTTGCCAGGCTGCTTCCTCAGTGTGAGGCCAGGTTGTCCTCAGACTGGGAGCCAGAGCAGGGTCCATCGCAGCTTTAGGGTGGCTTCTGAAGGACTTGGGACTCTGGGGAAACTGAGGCAGCACCCCCCCCCCCCCAGTGGGTTCTTGTCTCTGAGTGTGCCTGCACTGAGGGGCTGCAATCAGGATGGTCCTTTCCATCCCTAAAGTCCAGGAGTTAGAGGCCCCTGGGATGGACTTGTTCAAGGTCCCCAGCTTGGGCCGGGCAGAGCCAAGTCGCTGAGACCTGGGGGTCTGAGGCCTCTCTGTCCACCTCACCCTGTGTCCCCCCTCACCTCGCTGTTCTTCTCTCCTCCTCTCTCCCCCCATCCACATCTTCTTCCTGTCTTACTGTTTCCCTCCCAGCTTCTCCTTTCTGCCAGCACTTACTGTACACTTACTGTATGCCAGGTTCTGTGCCCAGCACCTCCTCAGCTCTGCCTGGGTTTATCTTCCAAAGGTCCCCACGATACAGGCATCGTGATTACCCCATTGTGCGGAGGCTAAAACTGAGGTCCAGAGATGCTCAGTCACTTGTCCCAGGGGACCCAGCCTGTCCCCAACAACCCTCTGTCCAGGGGCTCAGAGTCCATCCTGGTAGTTCTCAATGCTGGAGGATGGATAGCCACCCGGGAAACTCAAAATCAAACGTGGCCCACTGCTGTGCCCCCCAGCCAGAGAGCAGCTCTTGGCCCCGCCGGGTAGAGCCCTGGCCCGACTGGCTGCATCCTGAGGGAGAAGCTGACTCTGCCTCCTAGAAGTTGGAAGAGCGTGGGTGTGGACGGCCTGGACACCCGGGAGGACTGAAGACGCTGCACGGGAACGTGGGAGATGTTTTATTGGCCTTCACTTTCCTCAGGGAGCCAGCGGCTCCCCCAGCAGGTCCCCAGGGTGGAGAAGAGTGAGCTGGGAGGGATGGGTGTTTACTTCGTTTCAAAGAGATCTACATATCTACAGAGAGAATGGAGACCAGAAAGGAAGTGGGAAATTGAATCAGAACAGCCACAGCACGGGCCAGCTCTGGGCCCTCACCCCCACCCCACCCAGCCCACCCCCCACGCTGACGCATCAGAAACACACTTCACAGGATGCACAGGGGAAGCCAGAGGTGTGGGCGGGCCCGGGGGGGCCAGGGCTGCGAGGGACCTCAAGGGTGAATGCCACTGGCCTATCCAAACCAGGCAGGGGAGAAAGTAAGAGGAGGAAAACAACTGAAAACATAACAATTATGTCTTCGCCAGCCTCTGGAAACTGGTGATTTCGTTTTTGAGTAAGGGCAAGAAGTGTCCTGCGCAGGCCACCCCTCAGCTCAGGGAAGGCCACTGCCCTGCAAAGCCTTGTCTTTGAGGACGGTGCCTTCCCTGGGCAGAGAGGGGCTGCCCCGGCCCTGGGGTTCCATGGCAGGGCCCAGAAGGAGAGGGAGAGCCCCAGAGAGGGAAGGGGGCTCCTGGGGCCAGGTTGCTGAGAGGAAATAGTTGCCTCTTTCTGGTTGAGGAAGGGCTGCCTTCCTGACAGCTAGTGTCCTGGGGTTTGGGGCATTTCTCTGGGGTAACCACTGACGTCATTTCCTTAGCAGCAGGAGAGCGGGTGAAAATTCCCACGAGACCTCAGCCTGGGTGGGTGTGCTTGAGGGAGAGTGGGCTCAGATGAGGTCTTCAGATGGCAGCAGTAGGTTCCAGCTGCTTGGGGTCCACCAGGAGCTGGGACGGGCCTCCTAGGTCCTGCTGAGAAGCAGGTAGGGGAGGTGACCTGCAGCTCTGTCTGCCCTGGAGCTCTCAGTTCCTGTTGAGACCCAGAGCCTGAAGACCTCTGTCCTCAGGGTCTCTCTGTGACCAGCCCCTCATCACACAAGATGGGGAGACTGAGGCCCAAGGGTGGGAAGGGTCAGCCAAGTCTCATGGGGAACTCGGCGGTTTTCAAGCCCTGGGCCACGGCTCTGCCCAACCTAACGAGCCTCGGGCTGCCTCCATGCACTGCCGCTTGCTGGCCCTGTTTCTGGCTGAGCACTGGGTCTATACGTTTCCGCGTTGCCTCTCCCACGGCAGGTGGGCTGCGACATGGCCTCTCCCTCTCCCCGTGCCTCCCTCTTCCCCTAAAAAGCGGTCGGGGCTGAGCATCCCAAGGGCCCTGCTGCCCCTGAAAGTCTTCCTTCTAGGGGGCAGCCTGTCCATCTGCAGGGGGCTCAGCACAATGTGTCTCAGCCTGGGCAGATATTTGGCACTTGAACCCTGGAGAGTGTGTGTGTGAGAGGGACAGACGGGTAGGGGAGAGAGAGAAAGAGGGAAAAATAGAGGAAGAGAGAGAGGCCGGAGTTCAGGGTGGAGGGGCAGAATCCTTGGTCTGCAATTGCCAGGAAGGGCCTTGCTGCAGAGCCCTGGGCCTCACTGAGGTCATCCCTTCCTTGAGCAGGTGAGAAGGCTGAGACCCAGGGAGGGGGTGACACATGGAGACCTCCTGGGATGGCCAAGTTGTTGGGTCTGAGACAGAAGCATCAGGAGTATCGGTGGCCTCCGAGCCTGAGAGCCCTGGTGCACGCCCGGCTGGCTGTATGGTCACCTGGTCCTTCCAGCCCCAGGCCCCAGCTGTGCCTCCCCCCAGGACACGTTTGTGTTCAGTGAGCCTTATCCCTGCCGTGAGCCTGGGGGCTCCCCAAGCCTGGGCCTCCCCTGAGGACAGGGATTCGAGGAGGGCTCAGCCAAGCCCCACTTGGGGCCTGGGGCCAGGTGGGTGTGCCACAGGAATCCCCCCATGGTCTCAGGACCTTCCAGGCCAGGGTCCCGGGGGCTGGCCCGGGTCACACGTCGGTGCTGATGCTGCGGCTCCGGGCGAAGGCCTCCCGCATGGCCGAGAGGCGGTTGGGGTTGAGCGCCTGCAGGCCCCCGAAGCCCCCCGCGGGCAGCTCCACGTCCTCCTGGCTCACGCTCTTGTAGAGCACGCGCTCCCCGCCGTTCAGCACGTCCTCTTCCTCCTCCGGCGGCTCCTGTAGGAAGAAGGCGGGGGGCTCGCAGTGGGAGCAGCTGCGGCACAGGGCGCGGGCCTGCGGAGACTTCTGGCTGAAGGAGGTGGAGGCAGTGGGGTAGAGCGCCGGCCCGTTGGTCAGCACCAGGTTGCGGTTGGAGTGCAGTGGGGGCAGGTGCGAGTGAACGGCGAAGTCCGGCTCCTCCTCGTCCTCCTCCGACTCGTCCTTCTTGCAGCAGTAGTACTGCGGGCACAGGGATGGTGACCGTGTGGCCGCCAGCTCCCACCCCAGAACCCACACGCGGGAAAGGCTACCCCTGACTGGGGAGGGGAGACAGGCACAGCGGGAGTCGGGTGGCCCAAGCCCAGGCCTGACACCTCAGCTGTTTAACCAGTGCTGTGGGTCTGGCTCAGGCCAGGCACAGTGCTGAGCACTTCACGACGATCCACTCATCTCTTCCGCCCAGCAACACGCAGGTGTGACTGTTATCTCATTTTGCAGGTGGGGAGACTGAGGCATGGAGGGGTTCGCAGCCCCACATCAGCAGAGCCGGGGGTCACAGGCACTGGCAGCTGTGTTGCCTCGCCCTGCCCCGATGGCTCCCCATTATCTCTCAGGGAGACATGGGGACCCTGGATGGCCCTGGAGTGCAGGCGGGAAGGGAGTGCTTACTGCGGCACCCGCTCTGGGCAGCTGGTGCCCTTGGCTAAGTCCCTTCCTGTCTCTGAGCCTCATTAAAAGCTCTGGGTGAGGGGAGTCAGGCACGTCTTACTGAACCCCGTGGTAGGCTCCTGGCTGCCTTCTGCTGTGTGGCTTCTCTGCCACAGGGCTTTCCCACTTCCCGGGCCGTGACCCTTGTGGCCTTCACGCGGGGCTCCCTCCCGAGGTAGGGGCACCCTCCGGGCCTCCCCGCCCTGTCCCCTTCCCTGCCGCCCGGGAGTACCTGGAGCCGGCAGTAGCACAGAACAGCGATGATGCAGAGCAGAATCACAGTCGCCAAGATGCCCCCGGTGATGACCACGGTCCCGGCTGTCATCCGCCCCCTTCTCCATCAACAGCCTGCAACACACGCCGCCAGCTTTAGAGCATCACGCTTCCTCACCACAAAAGTCACCCGTGCTATTCTAGAGAACTGAGAAGACAAGCCTGAGGGGAAAAAAAGCACTCCAGGATGTGCCCGGGAGAAGCAGGGGCTCTGCCTGGGACGGGCTGCAGGAGCAGCCCCAGGCCCTGCTCTGCCTCAGCTGGCCTCTGTCCCTGCCCCTCTCCCAGACTCAGCTTCCACATCTGTAGAAGGTGGACGCTAATAGCCCAGGGTTTTGTGACACTTTTACAAGCGTGTCTCTCCATGCTCAGCGTAGCATGTTCTCAATGAATGGCGTCCTTCCAGCCTGGCTCTACAAGCTCGCACGTTTTAAAATTTACCCAAATGCAGTCAAGTCGAACATATGGTTTTGTAACCTGCTTCCCTGCATTTTCATCTCACACAGTCACCATTATTCTGTCATATCCTTACATTTTCTTCTGCAACATAATCTCTAACCCGATTCCATTGTTTCATGTAACCGACCCCTTTTCTTTAAAATGCTTAATTGTGGTGAAGCACACATAAAATGTACCATCTTCTCCATTTGTAAATGTGCAGCTCAGTAGCATGAGGTATATTTCACACTGTTGGGCAACTAATCTCCAGAATTTTTCATCTTGCGAAACTGAAAACCAGTTCCTGCCTGACGTTTGGGTTTCTTACATTAAAGAAATATTTCTAGCAATGTTTTAATAAGCGTCTTTGTAGCTAAGTAATGGGAACCATTGGAACCTGCTTCAGTGGCTTTCAGGATACATTCTTAGAAGTGGGATTTCCAGGCCTAGGGACATGCCCTTTGCAAACTCCTTCTTATGGAGAGCGTCCACCAAACATGATGCAGGGAGGCTGGAGTGATGCTGTCAGTGGCTGCTGCATTCAGCTCATCCCTGTCCTGGGGTGTGCTGATAAACCAGCTCTCAAAGCTCCCGGCTGGGAGCATTTGCTGATTTTTGTGGTGTAGATTTTCTTACCATGGCCAGTTGCAGTTCAAGCAAGGTTTGACAAGCAGCTTACAGCATTCCTGAATGCTTCACAATCATCTCTCACAAAACAGTGGGAGCTGGCGCCACTTCCCTTCCTCAATTTCCCAAGCCTCATTTTTTTTTTCTTGCTGGGGGATGGGGTGGAGGAAGAGATTGGAGTATTTTAAAGGAAATCACAGAGCATATCACTTTACCCATAAATACTTCAGTGCAGAATCTGACGGAGGAGGATTTTTAAAAAATTACCCAGCCTACGTTTAGCTTTCTCCTGTCATCTTGGAAATGCCTTTTTTACAGTTGGTTAGTTCAAATCAGGATGTAGTTGCGTTTGGCTCCTTTTGCTCTAGAACGGCTCGAAACCCATTCACGCCCCGCACCCCCACGTTGTTTATTAGAGAAACTGAGTTGTTTATCTGACGGAATTTTCCATGCACTGGAACTGGCCGCAATTCCTTGCATGGCATTGAACATGCTCCTTTATCAGTGTTTCTCCTCTAAACTGGCTTCCTGTTGCATCATTTCCAGGGGCCTGATGTCTGCTCTCCCTCTCATCTTGACATCACAATCAGCTAATGGGCGCAGCTGCTCTTGGCCCGTTCTCCCGTCGCCAGGTTCCCGTGGGTCTCCCGGACCATTGCTGTAGCCTCCTGTGCATGACCTGGATCTGTTACTTCACTGGGAGTTACAAAGTAGTAACTTTCCAAATGGTGTCCTTCCTTCCGCGTTTATGAGCTCCAGTTCTTCTTGAAAAAGCTCGAAAGCACATTCCCTTATCATCTGTGTGGCTACCCTAGCATGTGGCCTGCAGAGGGAAGTCTTAGAGGTTCCGTTCCTCTCTTTATCAGGGATCAGAATGAGCTGGTGCCCTGAGGTTTGTGGCTGTGTGTGTGCCGGGAGGATGGAGAACAGGCCAGTCCAGACCCGCACCTCTCAGTGAACCAAAGGCTGCCCCTGTCCCGTTTGCAGGCCCCGCGTCCCTGTTGGTCCCAGCCTGTTGTCTGCCCCAGCTTGCCTTTCTGTGTGGAAACTCGCCAGTGCAATCTCACTGATTTTTGAAAATATATTTGATGTGTTTCAATCCACTGCAGTCATGATTCTTTTTGATATTCAAATGATCCCACTAGGGAGCAAACTGAGGCCTGGAGAGAAGTGACCTGCCCAGGCCCCAGCACCAGTAAGATGAGGGATCTGGGTCAGGTCAGGGCTGGATCCGCTGCTACCATCCACCTTGGGGCCCCTGTCGCTCTACCCCGACTGCTGAACCCCGTATCTCCTCCATATGAATGTCCTGAATACCACAGCACCTTTGGGGAAGCACACACTGTGCTGATATCAGGTTTGGGGGTGCTGGCCTAGCCATGGCCCTCTTCTTTGTGCTCTGAGCCAAGAGGCTGGTGGCCACATCTGAGCCCTCTGCTGCTGCCCTTTGGGCCAGTTTACTGGGTTCAGGATGGACGTGCACCCCACACTGGGTCAGCTGGCCTCTCTCCTGGGAAATGGAATTAAAACCTGAGACACTGGCCGGTCCCTGCTGGTCGCTTGACCTTGGGTAGAGACATGAGTGCTCAGGCTGTGGCCAGGCTGTAGCCATGGGTGGAGTTTTCAGCCACATGTTGGAGAGGCAGAAGGCGCTGGTCCCCGGAGGGGGCGAGGAAGGCCAGCCACAGCTGCGGGAGAGATTGCCGTTGTGGTCCTGACTCTGGGGCCGATCCCTCCCTGACACCCGCAGAGTGACTCCTGCTGTGTGCCTGTCACCTGGAGTGCATTTTTGCTATTTGCACCCAGGTAATTATGGCCCCACTTCACCAATGAGGGCACTCGCACAGCTTGGGAGGGGTTGAGGGAGGTTGAGGCTCATGCCCGAGTGTTGTCTGTGATCATGCAGGGATTAAAATTCAGCACCACCCTCCACTAGGGGCCATGGCTGGGGGCCCACGGCTGGGGCTTACTGACAGCAGTGGGGGCCACGGCTTTCCCATAGGGAGCATGTCCCTGGGTGGAGGGGCTCCCACTGCTGTCAGGCTGAGACTGCAGGGACGATGGAGACTGCAGGTGGCCGTGGCTGGGCTGAGGCGCTCCCTCAGGGACAGGTACTGCGGAGCCATACAGGACACTCAGGCTGGACCCCCAAGTGCCAGCCTGGCTCTGCCTCCGGTTAGCTGCAAGAATGGGCCTTCAACGTTTCCATTCCTCTGCCTCAGTTCCCTCCTCTATAAAACGGGAGACCCCCAGGGGTTGTGTGGGACAGCAGCTGCACCGTGCTCAGTGCTGTGCTGATGTGCTTAGGATCGCATCCCTCCCCGGGTCTGAGTCCTTCTTTGGGTCCCTGAGGGAGCTGGCCCCGCTCGCTGCAAAGCTCTCTCTCAGGTCTGAGATGCAGCTGGTCCCTGGCTCCACCCGGCTGCAGCTCCTCTGGGTCCAGGTCTCCTCCAGCAGCGAGCGGCCTGGCGGTGTGACGGGAAGGGTGCCGGCTCAGGCCAGGTGCCCAGGGCTGTCAGCAGCCACCCTCCAACACCCGGGCTGGTCCAGCTGGAGCCTCTCAGCCTTGCTCGGCAGATACACGCCCGCCGAGGAGCAGCAACGCCCGAGACGGCGCCAGGTCCCAGGGCCAGGCATGGCCGACAGACACACACTCCGCTGGCAGTTCCACCAGCGCCCGGCCTGACATCAGCCCACAGTTCACTCCGAGCAGCTCCCAGCAACACGGCCTCCCTGGGCCCCCACCCTCCTGCCTCCCCTCTGCTCTTGCTGTGCCGCACCCTCTGGGATGCCTATCCCCCCGGGCCTACCACACCATCAAAGCCCAGCACGCGCCCTCCTCCTCCAGGAAGCCTTCCTGAACTTTAACGCACACCACAGAACTTCAAAACTTCAAACGCCAGAGCTGAGAAGGACCACATCCCACCCCTTCATTTAATGGGGGAAGAATACGGACCGCCTGCTGCCCTCCCTGAGTGCTCACCTTCAGCCTCCTCCCTGGGGACTCCAGGACTCTACTCAGCTGTGGCCCAGGTGACACGCGCCTGAGGGGCCTCCATCCTGCTCTACTCTTGCTGGTGACCTTGGGTCAGAGGCCTCTCCCTGGGTTCAGTTTCCTTATCTGTAAGATGGGTGTGGCAGGGTTTAGACACTGATTCCTCCCAACTCTGGGGGACGTGGAGTTTTAATCGGCCCTGCCAGGAATCCAGATGATTTAGACACCCAACAAAGTCAGGATTATGAAAATGTAAACAAGCATCAAGTGATAAAGCAATAAAGCCAGATGACACCCTCCAAGGGTAGGCAGAGAAGGGAAAGGGCTACAGACACTTTGGCTCCCAAGGATACTTGTGCGCTGAGAAAGCTGAGTGCCTGAGAGAACAGGGGAGGACTTGGGTGCTCAGGGTGGTAATGGATAGGGGAGGAACCGAAGGAGACTTCCTGGAGGAGGAAGTTTCTGAGCCGGGTTTTGAAGGATGGGCTGGGAGACGGAGAGGGTCTATTGGTGCTGGGAACAGCCCAGGCCAAGCCTTGGAGGCAGAGCCATGCGGGTCAGGCCTAGTGACAGCCTGGAGGAGGCCACTCTGCCGCCTGGTTGTGACTCGGGCCACCCCCCTCTTCCAGCTCCCTTGAAGCCTCCGCACTGCCAGCCAAGGCAATTTGGCGAGAATAGCGCTGAATTGTTTATCTGCCCCCTGGGACCATAATTGGTTTTAAAGCTTTATAAATGGCTTTGCTTCCCTGTTCCCACCCCGGGTTTTTACAGGGACAGGTTGTGAGACGGGGCTCCCCTGTGCGTCCCCCACCCCTGTCCACAGAGTCTGTGGCGAGGGAGCCTGGGCGGGCAACAGTCCCCTTCTGAGGGCCCTGTCTAGTCTCTGCAGCCGGCAGGGAGAGCCAGCTGCGTTTACAAGCTTCAGTTGTCTCCTGCGGCACCGGCACCAGCACCGAGGAATGAATGGCGTGGAGCTGGGGGTGGGGCAGGAAACACCTGGCAGCAGAGCCAGACA